CCAACACAGCAAATAAAGGTGATCAGTCCCACATGCAGAAGGCACCTGGGATATAGGCTGAGGGTTTTCAAATTGAACTCCCCAGGGGTACCTCAAGCAGGAAATGAGGGAGAAGCCAGCTGAGGGGCCTCTTCTTCAGACTTAAGCAGATCAACTCTGAGTTTATACATTTTATACTGACTTTTATCTGCAAGAAGGGCTTCCGTGGCTCCAAACACAAAAATCTGCTAGAGGGCTTGAAAGGTCACTCGTTGGGTTGCAGGCCCTGGGTCCCAGCCTAGCTGTGTGGCCTTTGGCATGGACAAGGAGAAGGCCAAGGTCCGGCTTGTTGGAGCTCTCCTTTTAAAAGTTATTTGTAACCTTTTGGTGACCTTGCCAGTTGTGAGTCAGAAAGGCTTGGACTCCATTCCAGCTCTGCCACTCATGGCTCTGATAGGTGAGGAGGGAGCCTCCTACTGTGGGAATTTCCATTCACCCTTCCCTGTAATTGTTAATATTAATGGCCTTGCAAGGTTGTTGTGAAGATTAAAAATAATATGTAGAGAATTTTTTGAGCCATAGTAGCTGCTCAGTAAAGGGTAGCTGTTTCTGGCCATGACCCTGATGCTTGCACTGTTAGTGGTCTTCCTAGGGATGGGACTTTTCTCTGTAAGTATCTGAGTGAACATCATCAAGATGTCCTCAGAGGATGATCATAGCAGCAAAATTTGTAACACAAAAAGAGGGAAGGGTGTGAGTAAAGGGAATGTGTCCACTGGCCAGCGACTGAATAAATCAGTTGGATGATACCTCTCTATATATTTGTACTTTGTGACCAATAGATAGTTTTTTTTAGGATTTTTACAGACTATCTTTTTGTTTGCCTACTTCTTCATACTTGTCTGTGTGAAAGGCAAGTACAAGAAATGTTATTTGTTAATGAAAACTTTCCATATTCTCTATATTTGTTAAATAAATAAATTTTAATCATGATAAGGCTGATGAGTAGGTGATAATGGGTCACTTTTAGAAGGGGCAGGAATCCTGGGATGTCTCTCAGTTCAGTTATCAACAAGGATTGGCATCTTCAAATGGATTTTTCTCTGGTTAGTCTTTTTTCTGATCACATCCTCTCCACTTGATGATTGACTTGGTTCTTCCTGGGATCTTCTCCAAGTGAAATAACTCTTTGACCCTTGTTTTTATTTTCCTTTGTTTTACAGCAGAGAAACTAGGAGAAAGGAGAGTTTACAATTCTTCTCAGATCTCAAAACATTTAAACAAATGCCCAGCTGAGCATCGCCCAGATTCTCCTGGGACACACATCTAACCTCTTGTTTTCATTATTGGTTTCTCAGCAGTTGTGTTTGAGAGTAAAGCTGCTTACATCCCCAAGCAGGTCATCTATTCCACTTACAGAAAAGAGGCTGGTGTCCTTAGATAGAAAGCTGAATTGTTTGAGCTTTCTCTACTTTGTACTTAAGATTTCTTTCCCTACATCCCTTTAAAATACAATATCAGGGGCCTCCCAGGTGGCGCAGCGGTTGAGCGCTGCCCGCAGCCTCTGCAGCGCTGGTTCAATCCCCGGCTGCTCCCTGGCCACTGGAGGAGGGTCCTGTATGGCACCAGACCTCTCCTGCCGCCTGCTGCTCCCCTCAGCAGTGTACTTCGGTCCTTCTGCCTGTTCTGCTCCCCGCTCTGGCTCTGGTGAATTCTCTCACCCTCCTGCGCTTCTGACTGTACCCAGTGCTTGTATAAATAAATAAATAAAATCTTTAAGAATAAATAAATAAATAAATAAAATACAATATCATTTCACAGCCACACAGAGCAAAACAAATATTTCCATTATACAGATTAAACAGTCTAACCAAGATGACAATTTTTATGCTAGGAAATAAAATTTTTTAAAGATTATTTATACAAGAACCAGGTACAGGTCAGGGGTGTGGGAGGGTGAGAGAATTCACCACAGACAGAGCAGGAAGCAGAACAGGCAGATGGAGCGAAGACACTGCTGAGATGAGCAGCGGGTGAGGCAGGAGAGGTCTTCTGTGCCGTGTGGGTTTCTCCCTGGCCGGCCAGGAATCGAACCCATGCTGCAGAGGCTGTGGACAGCTTCACAACACAGCACTCAACCTGCTGCACCACGTGGGAGGCCCTAGGAAATAAATTTTTAAGGAGGATTGTTTGGTCCTCTTCTTGCCTGTGAACATTACCTCTCTCTCTCTCTCTGTCTCTCTCTGTCTCTCTCATTCTCTCTCTCTCAGACACACACACACACACACACACACACACACAGAATTTGAATGTCACACTATTTCCTCTGACTCCAGGGCCCCATTATGACATCGTAATTTCCATATGCCATACCTAATTTCTTCTAAAGTGTGCCAAGCGCTACATAACCTTTCCCCCTCCTTTCCCTATATACCTCTTTTCTACTCCTTATACTCCTCAAGTCCCCCTGCCCTCATACAAACTCAAATTTTCTCCCCCTTCATATAAATATCAAAAGGAAGTTAAGCTGATTCATTCATTTCATTTATAGCGTGAATGACCAATGACCTGATCATTTTCTCAGGGAATGTAAAGTTTTTATCAGAGACATTCAATGCAAAGCTTAACCCTGCAAAATTATAAACCTGTTATAGGGCAGCCCCAATACAAAACGGGGTGCCTGACTGTGGGTCCTCACCTGCGCGCTTAGAAAGGACTTATCAATGCTCTACTGCAGGCACACGCGAAAGGTTAATAAAAGGTTTAGTGACAAGGGAAGGGCAAATGAGGAAATGTACAGCTCAGGGAGAAAAGTGGGAGACAAAGTTTTAAATGAGTCCTACCCGATCCGCCGATCAGGGATCCCAAATGGCACTCTGAGAGCTGGCCGCGAGCCAGGAGCTGTGAAGCCAGGAGGCAAGAGACAGAGCGAGAAACCCCAAGGCCCACATGTTTGGTTTTTATACCCAACCTGGCTGCTTAACTCCACCCACAGGTTCCAGCCACCTTCCCTTTGGTGGTGATGGGATTTGTCTTTCCCAATGTCCTGATGACTTTGGTCTGGAGTGGGGGTGGAGTCCACAAAGCCTGTATGGGATTAGCTCAGAACATCCTTTCCCCCTAACAATTCCCCCCTTTCACTTTTTGCCACCATTTCCATGGTGATGAAGATCAAATACATGGATGCTGGGATACAGTCTCAGATGAAAGTTTTCCAGGGTTCCAGTGTGAAAGAAAACCGGTCCCTCCAGGTATTGTCCATTGTGGAAAGCAAAAGTCCTCCATTCCTGGAAAAACAGTTCATTAGTCCAAGCCGAAAGAAAACATCTGGAGGCATTAGCCAGAACAAGACAGCAAATATGTCAAAATCACAGGAAAAAAAAATCTTAAAATGGTTCAACTTATGTAAAAACACATTCTCTCAACCTTGATCCCAAATTTTTGAACAGCATAGCAAAAGTTTGCAAACTAAAGGTACTTTTAAACCATATTGCCTATTTTTGCATAAAATCACAGGCAGAATAAATAAGCAGCAATTTTTGCTGGCTTTGTTGGAATACTCCAGATAGGATTCAGAGTGAACTGTTCACATCCGGTCCATGTAGGCTTCAGGAACAAGTTGGTCTCATCAGACTCCACCTGGGCTTTCCTCTTCTCGAGAGTACCAGGGACTTTTCGTTGGCTAGGCTGTCCAGTCCTGCCAATGGAGGCAAGCTTCCTCACCTTCTTTGGAGGTCTCTGGAACCCTACGAACAAAGCAAACAGGTTCTCAAGGCACCAAACTGTTATAGGGCGGCCCTGATACAAAACAGGGTGCCTGACTGTAGTCCTCACCCGCACGCTTAGAAGGACTTATCAATGCTCTACTGCAGGCACACGCGAAAGGTTAATAAAAGGTTTAGTGACAAGGGAAGGGCAAATGAGGAAATGTACAGCTCAGGGAGAAAAGTGGGGGACACAGTTTTAAATGCATCTTACCCGATCCGCCGATCAGGGATCCCAAATGGCACTCCGAGAGCTGGCCGCCAGCCAGGAGCCGTGAAGCCAGGAGGCGAGCGACAGAGCGAGAAACCCCAAGGCCCATGTGTTTGGTTTTTATGCCCAACCTGGCTGCTTAACTCCACCCTCAGGTCCCAGCCACCTTCCCTTTGGTGGTGACGAGATTTGTCTTTCCCAATGTCTTGATGACTTTGGTCTGGAGTGGGGGTGGAGTCCACAAAGCCTGTATGGGATTAGCTCAGAACATCCTTTCCCCCTAACAAACCCACCACATTTTCTTTCCTCCATCCCTCACCCTATTCAGAATAGATGCTGGTCCACAATCCTATTATGGGAGGGATACTAAGGGCTGATAGGACCTCAGTTCATCAAGAAAAAAGAAACTCCTCTCCCTGTTGACCATCCTCCTGTAATCCCAATTCCTTCCTATTTTGGGTACCACGTAGTCTCTAGCTCTCTCTCTGTTCATTTTCAGGGCATCAAACAGCATTCTGCTGGGTATTAACCCACTTCTCATATTTTGTCTTTCTAGTGGCTGCTCAAGTTGATCAGGGACAAATCACAGAGGGACTCGACTCTTATGACCACTGGTCTCCCAGATGCCAACCTTCCCTGCATAACCATGCAACTTCAGGCTTGGGAAACAGGAGAGAAAATTAAGTCAGGATCTGAGTTAAGAGCCCTGTATATGAATCATGATTGCTGCTTGTTCAAGGGCCCCAGAGATGTCATGAGTATGTTCTTGGGCAACATTTATTTTCCATCTACCTTCTGTTACTCTCTAACCTCAAGATTTTGCCTGCAAAGCTCTGCCTTCTGGCTGTCCTGCAGCAGCTCTAGTTACTTTGCTGTGTTTCTTGGAGTCACAGTCTCTCTGAATCACCATCTAGAGATGGGGGTCTTTCTCCCACCAGTACAAAAAAAGCAAAAATATGAGATTGTTGGACCTACTCAGTGGTTTGGAGCTGCCAGTGGGAACTCTTTTTCATTTGAGTACAAATTTTGTTTTATTACAGTTACCCTTCCCTTTGGAAACTGGCACAAATCCTCTGCACCAGCAGACATTATAGAATGTTGGCTGCACAAAATATCACCAAAACAACTTGTTGGTAAGTCAGAGCTGAGTTTATTGCTTATAACAGTAAGGGAGAGCACTTCTCCCCAGAGTCTTAGTCCATCTCAGAGCAAGGAGGACTAAGGAGACATAGTGAGGTTTTAAAGTCTGGCTTAAGATACCTGTTTTAATGTTTGGACATGGTCAGAACTGAAGAGGAGCATTGTATTACCACTTAGGATTGGTAGATATAATAGCATAAGGATTTTGAGAAAGAGGTTCTAAAAATTTTAGAGTGTAAACTGTCATGTGAGGCTTTTTTAGCAAAGACTTCCTAAGTCTTTCAGGAAGTTCCTGCAAGAATCAATAAAGTTATCTGCAACTTTTGTCTCCCTGGCAAGAGTTTCCTAGGACAATAAAGTTATGTGAAGAAAGTAGAATAGTTAAGTCACATGTTAACAGCAGGTTGTGTTGGTTTGAATCTCAACAGTAATAAGTCTCAGTAATGCCAGTATCCTTAATTATCTCCCTTTACTCTCTCTCCCATCTGTACAGCCAGCCCCACCCCTCTACCTTCCTAACTGCAGAACTAGAAGGTTCAGCCCATTTTTTGCCCTCTTCATTTCTTCTCTTTCTGAAGCAAACAGGATTCCTTCCAGCCTTCTGGACAAGCCCAGACAAGCCCGAATTCATCCATAATAGGTATGCAGCATTGGCCCGCCTCTGATTTCCATAGATATGAAGTTTTCATTTTGCAGCAGAAAGTGAAATTGAGGCACACTCTAAAATAATATCAAATTTAAAAGTACCACATAAAATATCCACATTCATAAATAAAATTATTATTTATAATTACACATAATAGATAAAATATTAGTAGTATAATAATTCATATGCATCTAGACACTTTCATTAGAAGAAGAAATGAGGCAGAGATGGTTGGGTGCCCACCAACATCTTTACTCTCCCTCATAGTATAAGGTTTTTGCTGAAAATTGGCTGCCCAGTCAGGGACATACATTTCCTAGCTTCACTTGCCTCTGAGTGTGACCATGTGGCTGATTTTTGCTAAGGGAATATAAGCAGAAATGACATCTGTCCTTCTAGGTCAGGGTATTTAAGAAGCGGGTGTAACTTCTTCCTATTCTCCTTAGCCTTCTGCCAGCTCGATGAAGATAATGGTTACCCCAGGGAATATCAGATAAGTTAGAAGGAGCTTGGGTGTCTGGATCATGAAATTGTGTCAAGTCACCTGCCATGCAGGAAGTGTGGGAGAAATAAACTATTGTATTAATCATGAAAAAAAAATGTTTGGTCTATTTTTTTTTTTTTTTTTACAGCAGCTACTACAGGAAATGAAATGGTAATAATAGTCCCACAGGGAGTCCGTAGTAAATAATTTTTCATTGTTTTTGAACTGAAAAACCATACCCCAGTGAAGAACACCAGTTTAAGCTTTGAGGACCGTGATGGAAAACCAGAACCAATTAATTTGGCTCTTAGCATATTAATAAAGTGGCAGGTATTTATACAATGTGTCATTAGCTGATCATCCTTTGAGAACCAGTTTGCTTCTTGGGAAAGGTTTTGGCAGCTGTGAATAGGCTGCTGGTTCTCTTATTTCCCTGCTCGTGGTAATGTGCTGCAATTATTCGGATTTATGTGCTTCAGATGGAAAGAACGATAAAGCAAAGTCAGGATCTCCCCAATATCTACACCACTCTTCCTGAAGCTGAATTTGCAGCAGAATCAAAAGAATAGCCTCTTCCAGGAAACTGCTAAATGTCCTCGTGTCCTTTGAGGACAAATGCCTGGTGACAAAGGGGTCCTCACCTTCAGGGTCTGTCCTGCTGTTTCACCTCCCTAAGTGTAGGTGTTCAGATGGAGTCAAGGAGAAAAGAACACATCCACCGAGGATGGACAAACATCTTTTTCTTCCTATGTCCTGGTGACGTTATCAAGAAGGACTTACTGTTGAGCTAGGTACAAAATCCACATTCAATTGCCTGGGATAACAACTGTAAGAGGACTTAGCCATGCAGGTTTAGGGTGGGTCACAGCTCAGGAACATTGCAACCCTGTGCACACCCACACTGATCAATGAGTATTCTGATTATTCCGACTCTATCTGCAAATATATGATCCACGGTAAGGCATTTGACCATCTTCTCCATCAACTCCACCATTTTCCATAAAATAGGATGGATAAAATTCTCCAGTTTCATGAGGGAGTAGTAAATTGATATTAAATGACTACAGACTATAAATGAGGGAAATGCAGAGCACTATATACAAACACTACATACATGCTAATTAGACCCTATGCGAGGACATTTCTTCCTATCACAAGGTAGAGCCCGTGGACTATTTTAATCTTTTTAAAATTTTCTGTGTAAAACTTTTACAGTGGAAAAAAAAATGTAGCATCTGGCTCATCTATCCTGTGTACAAAAGGATTCCATAGGCAAAAAATGTTATTAGAGGAAGCTGTCCAGCTCATACCTGCTCATTCATTAGTAAGAGCGTGAGAGCTCTCTAGCAAACTGGTTTTGTGACATTCTCCCTTGAGGAAGTCACATGATGCTTTCACACATTTACATTTGTAGTCCTGGCTTTGGTGGAGTTATTTGTTGGCAAGGTCCACATAAAAGCAATGGAAGGGTTGGTTTTTTGAGATTTCGATGGGAGTGAGGAGAGAAGTTGGCTCCAGGGACTGATAGGCCTGCAGATCTGAGACTCAGCACTCAGTACTATTTTTAGACAATAGTTCTTCAACCTTACTGACATGATAAATGCCAAGTAAAATAAGAATGGGCCTGATTTAACCATCAAATATAGCAAAGAATAATAATTAGAAGTACTTCGCCTTAATGACCACCTTTATTTGGTTAGTTATACCTCTTAACTTCTAAGTAGTGGTTCACATTACAGTATTCAAGGGCATGTGTCAGTGTTTGAGGGAGGAGCACTTTTCAGTACTCTTTGGATTTCATTCTCATAACATGAGAATTTGCGGGGGGAATTGTAATGTTTTAATTTTTTTCTCTTAATTATGTCCATTGAGGTAAAGCAGGTTTACATTTTTGCAACTGCCCTGGCTCAAACCTCTACAAATATACACTCCACACCCTGCTCACCACCAGCACTACAACAACCCCCCACCATGTTCCATTAGGTTTGTGACATGAAACATTAAATAAATAGATCCATCCAAATTTAAGTATGGTTCAAGTGTACTTTTTGTTTTTAGTTTTCACTTTTTGTTTTTAGTTTTCAAACATAAATTCCATAGAAACTTATCTGAGGGCTTATGAAATCACCAAGGAGCACTACCTTGAATGGACTTTGTACTGTTTTCCCCTTACTCCTGTGGCATTCATCCCTCACTCCTGAGCTGAGGTGAAGAACAACCCAGGGGTTCCTGTTGCAACTTTGTCTGCTGCTCCAGCCTGGCAACCACATGATGAGAAAAAGTGGCTATCCCTGTGGCTTGTCTCAATTTGAGGAGTCAAGGCACACTGAAACTAGGTCAAATAAAGGATATTTGTTGTGGGAATCTAAGGGAAACAAAAAAAGACACCAAGTTACAAGGACCTCCAAGAACAGAGCCTGTTGTTGAACTTGGTCTTGAAAACACTAAGTGGTAGTCCTAACTTCAAGGACAATCCATGGATCCCAGAGATAGAAATGAAAAGAACTTCGCTCTAAAAGCAACAAGATCTGCTACAACTCCTGTCAACTCATGTCACACTGCTCCTCAAAATAGGCCAGTGGTCCCCATCTCACTCAGAGTAAGACAAAATTCTTTTTTTTTTTAAAGATTTTTTTATTTATTCATGCATACAAGAACTGGGGTACAGGCCAGATGCACGGGAGGGTGAAAGGATTCACCAGAGACAGAGTGGGGAACAGAACAGGCAGACTGACTGAAATGCACTGCAGAGTGCAGTGGCGGGCGAGACAGGAGAGGTCTGCTTCGCCATGTGGGATTCTCGCCAGCCAGCCGGGATCGAACCTACACTGCAGAGGCTGCGGACAGATTCACAGTGCGTCGCTCAACCGCCTGCGCCACCAGGGAGGCCCCTAAGACAAAATTCTCACAGGGACCCTCAAACCCTGTGAGAGTTTCACCTTCTCCCTCACCTTGAACCTCCCCTCAGTCACTCTGCTTGGTCAGACTGCCTACCTGGTGGTCCTTCAACACTCCAAGAAGACTCCTGCCTTGGGGATTTTGCCCATGCTATTCCTTCTACTTTGAATACTCATGCCCGGATAGCTGCTTCTCTTTTCTTTTCAGTCTTTGCTCAGTGTCACCTCCTCAATGAGGCCCTCCCCATCCAAAATTGTAAGCCCACCCCATTCCAACACTTCCTATTCAAATGACTGCTATCTTTTAATTTTTTATGAAAAAAATTTAAATAATCAAAAATAGTGCAAATAGGGATCCAACGTTGATCAGATGTCTCATTTTAACTCATCTTGCTTCATCAATTCCTCATCTTTTCCTTCTATTATTTTAAACCCCTCCAGCACTTATCACTACCCGACAAATTTTTTCTTTTTTTTTTTTTGGATATTATTTGTCTTTCCTCACTAGCATGTCAGCTCCACAACTGGGACTGGTGCCTGCTTTGTGCACTGCTATATCCCCAACACCTACAAGAGTGCCTGATGCATAGTAGGTCCTCACTGATAACAACTGAATGAAGCAATGGAGCAGTTTTTAACACAATGCTTTCTTTCCCATAACCTCTCCTACCATCTGATGGCCATGAATGCCTAAGCTCCCCTAATCTGACTCCACCCAGTGATTGTCAGTCACAGGGCACCCACTTGTCCCCCTCCCAGACTCTCAATATATAGTTTCTGGGTCATATTCCCAAGAGGTAAAACCAGATTGGCCCGGCTTTCTGTGAGCCATGCACAGCATTTCAGGAAGTCTGTGAATTAATTTCCCTGGGGTCTTCATGTTGCCAATGGTCGCATAGGTATGCAGCAAGGACCAAAGAGGGGGCATTTCTCTTAAAAAGGTATGTGTGATGAGCATCCCTCTTTCACCACACAATTTGTTAGCAAATTTGATAAGATTAGACTATATTTCTTTTTAAGTAGGAAATTCTCCCTGATAGACATTAATGGGTCCAGACATCTTTGGGGATATTGTGCATTATAATTACTTTTTCTTTTTTTGCCAGGCTCCACTTGTGAAGCAGGAAGAATGCACAGAAAATAATTTACCCTGGTTCATTTCTTTCTTCCACCATTTTCAAGGCTGTCAACCAGCAAAGCCCTTTGCACATCAGACACTCGCCAATTAGGCCTTCAATAAAATCAGGGGGTGTTGCCAGCGGGGATGACAAGTCAGGAACCTGAAGGACTGGTAATATGCTAGGACTCCAGCAACCACAACTAGAATTGCATGGCAAACGCTCCTTGCCAATAGTGTTTCTAGTCTACCTGCCAAAGGGGTGTGGCTTCCTCCTTGGCCAACTTCTGTATAAACTGAGCATTGACCAGGCCAGGGCAGATCTAGAAGGAAACATCACCACATCAAAGTATATCCCAGGGCTGTTGCATTCTTTTCAGTAAAGGCTTGTTTATTTTCACCACCAAAGAGTACCCCTGACAGCTCAGCCCTACCCTGCTACCGCTTAAGTCAATTTTTTGTCATCTTGTTTTTAAAGTCATCTGAAAGGGTTGTGCAGACTTAGTGATTATGAGTCCTAATTCATATTCATATTTTTTAGTTAAAAGTAAGGCCTCCATTGACTGTTGGATACTTTGTTGATGAGTATTAGCCAAGACCTCACATGGGCACATTCTTTTTCTAGAGTAGAATTGTCTTTCAAGAATAACATTGATATTCATATAGTGCTATCTGGTATTATCTCTGTTAATGTACTGCAAAATCTCCATTCCATCTAGTAAGTAGTTAATGGCTACTACCATCTCAGCTACCTTATCCCCTCCTCCAAGACATCTAGACCTTGGTAGATGGAGAAATTAAAGGATTAATGCTGGTCAACAAGGATTTTTAGTATCCACTGTGGTGGGTCAACAGTTGTTGAATATTTTGAATCTCCCCACCCTGATTCTACATTAAAAACCTTCACCATAACCTCTCATTTAGATACTTTCATCCTTGCTAATTTACAGAAAATGATGCCCAGACAAAAGCAGGAAATAGAATTAATCACTCAGGCATTTTCCTTCATTTCGGACATCTCTCCACTAAAATGATATTCACGACTATAGGAATTTTTGTTCAGTTTCTGCA